TAACTGGTGACCTGTCAATGTGAAACCTGTTTAATACACCATTTTATGTGGTTCACAAAATAGTTAAATGTATTAGATATGATAATAATAAACACTACCAATCCAAATATCCAAGTTCCATTTTGTACAATTTTGAAATGTAATTTTAAGAAGAGAAATATGGAAAATAAATCAACATGTATTCAATGATTTTCTTTTGTCAGAAATGTTTTAAGTTCCTGGATAAATGTTTCAAATAATCTAATATTTTCATTTAAAAACCTAGTGTTCATCTTCATTCATTTCTTGACATTATAATATGATCTGAATTTTAATTTTGAACTTGATGGCATGATCCAGTCTGAACAATTGGTATATTTATTAAGGATGGGTCTTCAGTGAGAGCCAGCATAGTAGTTTGCGCACTGGACTATGACTCTGTAGAGCAAGGTTTGATTCCCATCTTGCCCATGAAACCCACTGGGTGAGTCACATTTGACTCTCAGGAAGGCAATGGCAAACTTCTGAACAAATCTTGCTAAGAAAACCCCATGGCAGTTTCACTTTAGGTTCGTCAAAAGTCGGAAACAACGTGAAGGCACACAACATTTTCATATACATCCTGTTTTGACATAATCCCTTTCCAAAATAGCTTGTTGCTGTCCATCAGAATCTAGGGAACATGAAATTCCCCAAATTTTACTAAATATTGTAGCCCTTAGGAGGTGAAATCAGTCCCAAGGTGGAGATGGTAGAGTCACTGGCAAGCATGTATTTATCATATTAAAACTTGTAATGCATACTGGGAAGGAGAGAAATGATGGGTTCCCATGTATGGAAGAAGAAGATTGGCTACAACCCAGAGACCTGTGTTGGTCTTGTGACATGGCCACAACATCTGGCCAAAATTACACAACTCAAATGCTTCACTACCCTACTTTTTAAATCATCAAGCCTGCTAAAGATATTTGAAGAACCTGAAAGCTTGCATGATTATGGATTTTTAGTTGGTCCTAATAAAGCCATTGCTATATGTGGATTTTATATTTTGTTTTGTTTTCATAGACTAAGGTTTTTGCATATATTGCCAAAGTGAATATACATAGTCATGCAAAGACAACATGAACAATATACCAAAGAAGACAGGAAAATCAATAACATAAAACTGTTTGAATCTTGTTGGCTTTGTAGTTATGAGAGGGGAAAATTCTTTTCAATCCACAACAGCATTCTGTCTGTGTAGAGGATAAACATAGGTATAAGGCCCTTGTTCAGTGTTAACTGGCATCTCAAATAAGAATGGATGGCAGGATAAAGCCCTAAATTAACTATTGGGCAGTGTGATGTTAAGCAACCTTGTTCCCAAGTGGATCGTTTTAATAAAGTATTCTGTCTCTACAATTATGATAAAATGTATTCATGACAAACCTTCCTTTGTTCATGTTGCATATTAATATCATAAATGTTTTATAAGTGCTAGAGAAAGGAAGGGAGAGAAAGGAGGAGAGAGAAAAAACAAATACTTATTTGTATAATACCTATGTGATACTGTATCACAGCTAACCTCAGTAAAATGCTCTGTGCAAGATAAGATTCTCCCTCACATCTTTGTTTCTACTTCTTTCCTGGTTGTCCATACTCAACTGAATTATCAACTTCATCAGACAAAGATGTTAAATATCATACAGGAGAAGAAAAGTGATGATGTTAGAGTCTCAGGCCTATATTTTCTTTCAGATGTTGCTTCTGTTGTCAGTTAAGGTGGTCAGGAGCAGATGTTCCCAACCTGGGGTGCAACATAGAATTTCAGGAGGTGCAACAAAGAGTGGTTCATGTCTTTGAGTGACATGTCACGAGTTATTACTCAATTGAATAAATTAGTATCCAGTGTTTTGAATATATTAGAATCCAGTGTTCAGTTTAGATTTCCATTTTATGCACTGTGTTAAAAGCTTACTTTTTAAAGTTCAATTTGTTCACCCACAGAATTATATGTGGTTCAATTTGTGATTCAAAAATTAGAAATCTCCATCTTCAAATGTCATATTATTTTTTTAGGGGGTGCAAACATTATTCAAACATTTGCTTGGGGTATGGGGTATAGAAAAGGTTGGGAAACATTAATTTGGAAGAATCTCAAAGCAGGCAGAGGCCACCCACCTTTTTGGCCATATGAGGATGATTAGGAACAAAGAGCAATATAAGACAGATATTAAAATTTCAACTCCATTAACAAAAGAAAAGTAACTTGCATGGGGTATTTTCTGCACTTTGGTTGGCCAATAATGGTATCTGACTCTGGAAGCTAAGCAGTCTTGTGGAATGGATTTTGCTGCAAGGACAACATGTCTATCTCTGAACTTGTTTCCTGAACTGTATTGCTGCTTCTCCTTTGCTCATTACCCTACTGTTACTGCATCCCCTGTTGATGCTGCTACCCAAGGGATCACACAGGGAGTAGCTAGAAGACCCACCAGCTGACTTGTACAGAGGGCTGAAACTAATACTCCATCTGTTTATGAATTGGACAGGCCCTGTTACAACATATGTACTTAATATGATTAGTCCCTACCCCCATTTTTTTCAGGGGAAAGTTATGTAGTTGATTGACTTTAGCTGTAAATGACTGATGAATAAGACAGAACCATGGTTTGCAAGAAAATATTGCAAATTGCTGAAAGTTGTAATTGATAATCAGACATATTTCTGGGATAGTGTTTGATCCCCAAACACTAATGGTTGGTTGAGTAAGGTCTCTGATAGCCTTTACTTAGTCCTGCCATGTTTTGAGTCATGTGATAATGTGTGAATGATTTTCTTTCTGGATGTGTGTATGCACATGTGCCTTCAAGTCATCTGTTGACTTATGGTGACCCTATCAATTTCATGGGGTTTTCTTAGGCAAGGAATATTCAGAGGTGGTTTGCCAGTTCCTTCTTCATTGTCAGCCTACCATCCAAGTACTAACCAAAGCTGACCCTGATTAGCTTCCAGGGTCAGACAGGGTCTGGTGCCTTAAGGTATTTAGACCATTTCTTTAAGGGTACCAGCATTAATTCTACATTACAATCCTCTCCTCACTGGAGTTCCTTTTATTAATACTCCAAACAATTTATATTTAAAAACAATACTCTGTGTCACTTTCTCATGAACTGCAGGTAACCTTTATTAGCATGAAATTACATAGTTCTGTAGAAGAGAGTTTACACTACTATTAAAATTGTACTTTTGAAACATTTGAATAGGCAGTGTGCTAGAAGCTGCCGAAAACATTATATATTATTGATGTTGTCTTAATTGTGTTATTGACTTCTCATGTGTGCTTCCGTATGCATGCTAATATTAGACATTTTTATAAGATTGCTTCTGCTTTTCATATCAAAAATGGCTTCCAAATATTATCCATTAAGGCCTTGAAAATCCCTTTTACAGTTTCATCCAGGGCATCTTTCTTGTTTTATCATTGTTTTGTTTGCTCATCTTCCATTTGTTTTCTTTGTCCAGAGGAGGGCAACCAAAATGGTGAAGGGTCTGGAAACCATGATTTATGAGGAAAGACTTAGGGAGCTGGATATGTTTAGCCTGGAGAAGAGGCAGTTAAGGGTTGATATGATAGCCCTGTTTAAGTATTTAAAGAGGTGTCACATTGAGGATGGAGCAAGGTTGTTTTCTGCTGCCTAGAACATGGAATAATGGATGCAAGCTGCAGGAAAAGCAATTCAACCTCAACATTAGGAGGAACTTCCTGACATTAAGAGCTGTTCAAA